AATATTGACTCTCGCCCTAGTACTGCACACCTCCGACCTTTGCTTGTTATTCCTCATTTTTCTCTGGTTCTAATTTCAAAAATATAGACTTCGATATTGTTAGTCATTTGGTTGGCCAGTGTACTTCTGACTTTGCAAGTTGTTTGTAGTGTAATTGTTTGGTAGAACGTTGCACTTCCATTTTGTTTGTTGTTAATCTTTTGGTTGTTCACTCGAGCTCTGAAACTTGCTTTTGCCTTAGCTAGTTTTGTCCCACTTCCTTTACTCAGTCCATTTTGGAGTGGATGTTAGGTGTCCAATCAACCTCTATTGCTCGGTCCACTTCGGAGTGAGTATTGGGCGTCCAACCAACTTCCGTTGCTCGATCCACTTCAGAATGGGTGCTAGGCATCCAATAAACCTTTGTTGCTCGGCACATTTTAGAGCGAGCATGGGGCCTTCGACCAACTTATGTTATTTGACCCACATCGGAGTGGGCACTAGGTAACCGACAAACCTCTGTTGCTTGGCCCATGTGTTGGGTGTCCGACTAACTTCTATTACTCAACTCAAGCATTTGATGTCTGACCAAATTTTGTTACGTGGCCCAAGTGTTGGGTATCTGACCAACTTTTGTTACTCGACCTGCTTCGAAGTGGGTATTCCAAGTCCAACCAATCTTCATTGCTTGGTGCACTTCAGAGTGGGCGTTGGGCGTCCAACCAACCTCTGTTACTCTGTCCAAGCATTAGGCGTTCAACTAACTTTTATTGCTCGGCCCATTTCGAAGTGGGCACTAGGCGTCTAACCAATCTATGTTGCTCGGCCTAGGCGTTGGGCGTCCAACCAACTTTTGTTGCTTGCCCAGACGTTGGACGTCTAACCAACTTTTGTTGCTTGGCCCAAATGCTGGGCGTCTGACCAACTTCTATTGGTCGGCCCAAACGTTAGGCGTCTGACTAACTTCTGTTGCTTGGCTTACTTCGAAGTGGGCATTCAAAGTCCAACCAACTTTCATTTCTTGGTGCATTTCAAAGTGGGCGTTGGGTGTCCAACTAACCTCTGTTGCTTTGTCCAAGCATTGGGCATTCGACTAACTTTTGTTGCTTGGCCCACTTTGGAGTGGACGCTAGGCGTCTAACCAACATTTGTTGCTCGGCCTAAGCATTGGGCGTCTGACTAACTTCTGCTGCTCAGCCCAAGTGTTGGGCATCTAACCAACTTCTGTTGCTCGGCCTACTTCGAAGTAGGCGTTGAGAGTCCAACCAACCTCCATTCCTTGGTTCACTTCAGAGTGGGCTTTGGGTGTCTAACCAACCTCTATTGCTCTGCCCAAGCATTGGGCATTCGACCAACTTCTGTTGTTCATCCTTTTTCGTAGCTGTTCCGCTTCGTAACACCTTCGCTAGGCCAAGCTTCTTCTTTTGTAATGAAACTTTAAGTTAATGAAGTATTTTCAAAATTTGCCAAGTGTTGGACTTGTAACTTGCACTTTCAATTTCTTTATGTTTATGTTGTTTGCCCTCAAACCGAGCATCAAAGATGTGGCCCTACATCATTGGTTGTTCGGCCAGACTTCAACTTATGCCTTTAAAAGTCGAGTTGCTCTTCCGGTCAAGCAATAATAAGGGAACCTAGCAAGATTGTCCGTTTTGCCTTAACTAAACCCCGGCCGAGCAGAAGATTCTTGGCAATAAGGGTTGTCTGCTTGGACAAATTAGGATCCGTGCTCTCCGGCCAAACAGAGGCTCTGAGGTGATCGGTCAAGCTAGGCATTGTGCCTTAGAAAAATTTAAGAAAGAAAACTTCCCATAACTCCGACCAAGCAGAGGCTCTGAGGTTGAGTGAGGTGTTTGATTAGTCAGACCAAGCTTCATGCCTTAGTAAAATTTTGAGGAAAGAAATTTTTATGCCCTTTATCTGAGTAAAGGCTCTAAGATCGAACAGGGCGTCTGATCAGTCAGACCAGGTTTTGTGCATTCGAAAAATTTTGAGGAAAGAATTTTCTATGCCCCCGGCTGAGCAGAAGCTTTGGGGGCGAACTAGGCGTCTGATTGGTTAGACCAGGTTTCATGCCTTAGAAAAAATTTGAGGAAAGAACTTTGTATGCCCCTAGTTGAGCAAAAGCTTCAAGGCCAAGCGGATCGTCTGTTCGCACAAACTAGGCTTTGTGCCTTAGAAAATTTTGGGCAAGTTTTACTTATCGGAGAATGTAGCTGGGCTCTTTGTAAAGCGCAAGTCATTATCATGGACTATGCTTTCAAGTAACGATACTTGACACAACTTCCACCAAGCTATACCACTTGGCGCCCTACTCTGACCAAAAGGTCGAGCTTTAGGACTAGGGTGTAGGTTAAGACCCGTAACCCATTTTTGCTCAATTGTCAAGTGAAATATGTACAACACATGAAAAAAAAACTCATTGGAGAGTGTAACTTGACTCTTTGTTTAGTACAAGTTGTTACCATGGACCATGCTTTCAAGTAACGATACTTGGTACCCTATTCGCGACCAAAGGGCTAGGGCATGGGTTAAGATCCCCGTTATCCGTTATAAAGGATGAATTTCGATGGACTGTACTTCGAGGGAGTTTCCACAGCTTCAATCTTAAGGCAGAGCGGGGAAAGGACTAGTCGGTCCAGAGCACGATGCTCCATCTAACGAATAGACCAATCTATATGCTCTTTTTCCCTGTCTAGCCACTACTTAACCACTTTGTTCGACTGTCAGTCGTACCCCTTGTTATTGCTCAACCATGTCCTCAAGTCATGCGATTACTCGGTACGGAGAATGAGAGACTACCGAGTGATGACTGACGGCCTTTTGCTTCTTGCGAGAGTCTTCTCAAAGATTTTTCGTTCTGGGATAGTTTGTACTGCTACTGGCCCTTTCGCTGCGTACTGATATCGGCCGACTACGCTCTCCACGAATAGGATTGCGGTTGGACCGTTCTTTTTATAGAAGCGAAAGTGGAGTGTGCCTCATTCGCTGTGATGACCCTTCTCCAGACTTCCTTGGCTTCGCTTGAGGCATCATTTGCTTTCTCAATTGAGCACAAAGCTCCTCAATCTCCAGACTCATCAAGTTGATGATACAATCACGGTGGTTCTTTTCAATAAACAAACGTTGAGATGATTCAAAGACGGTGATGTGACGTTGCTTCACTGTATCAAGGGTTGGACTATCGTAGTCCATCAGGTCATCATACCTAGTAAGGAGTGCTAGACCTTTTACTTGGTTCTCTTCGTTCTTGGAGTCTTCTTTCCAATCCTAAGTGGCGAGGTACCTTCAATTCTCATCGTCGGAGTTCATCACGAAGTAATCAGAGAATGTTTCCCACAGACGACGCCAATTATGCGGGGTGATTTCTGTACTATGAAGAAGGATTGAACTTCGTAAAAGAACAGTGTGCTCCAAGAATTGAAGATCTGCACAGAGTAACAAATAGTAAAGCTGTCCGACCGGGGTTTGGTTAGAAACCTCTCCGATGGTAAAGTCAGGAACTTCGGGAGAGGAATAAGAGAGAATACAAAGTATATATGTTAAGTGTGTGGATTTCGAATCTTTTGAGGGTGAATAGTGTTCACCTTTTATGGAAGAAGGTTGCTTGTCCTCCAAGACCTCCTCTTTTCGCCATTTGTCCCATTTGTCTTGTTCGTGGTCATCTCCTATTGGAGGAGGACGACCACTCTGCCTGACACTCGGGTGTAGGTCTATCTTGTTTGTTTCATTAGAGATCGTCTCTTATTGAAGGAGGATGACCACTCCGTCTGACACTTAGGTGCAGGTCCGTCCTGTGTGCATCTTGTCCCTCTCCGCCTTCATGTCTCCACATTCTGTTCAAACAGAGGGAGATGAGCAGAGTTGTTTGTTTCTTACAAGCTCCAAGAAAGATATTCGGTAAATTGGCCTTCTCTAAGTTGGCCCACTTCGAAGTGGTTACCTGTCCAACCAGGAGGTCCAACATGTTGCTCAGCCCACTTCGGAGTGGTTGCTTGCCCAACCAGGAGGCCCAATATGTTGTTCGACCCATTTTGGAGTGGTTGTCTAACATGTTGCTCGGTCCGTTTTGGAGTGGGCCTGGCACTAGGCTACTACCTTGATTGCCTTGCTTTAGAGCAAATGTTTGGTCATTAGGCCGAGCCTTTAGCTCCCCTATTGGTGGAGATCCAGCGTTGGGCCGAACACCAAGACTTCGTTAATTTTATCCCACTTCAAATATATACTTGACACTATCCTATTATATTGTATTGTATCATTCTTATTTTTTAGATAGATCAAATTTTCTGAGGCTACGTTAAAATTTGTCAAGTTACAATTTCGATGTAAATAAAAAATAGGAAAAGTACATTTCAGTGATTAATTTAAAAAATAATATAGGTTTGATGAAAATTTTATAAGTTTATTTTTTAATGTTTTCAAGTTTTTTTAACTAATATAAAAGCATTTATATTAAATGATATTTTTCCTAAAATGGTACATTATGGTCCGGTGACATTAAGGTCTGTTTGTTTGGTTCTTTGCGTAAGAACATTGGATTAATAATTTTAGATTTACTTATAGAGGACACGAGTGAAAAAATTAATTATCTCTTTAGACTAGTAATCCCTCTATTAGTAGGGTTATCAATTTCGTAGTGCGGTTGAGATTAAAAATTAAGTGAAAGATTAGTGAATTTTTAAATAATTTTTTAACAAAATTTATGTTTTTTAAAACCAAAAAAAATTATGATATTACAAATTTAAAAATATTAATTATATATATTAATACTATTTATATATTACTAATCTGTACAAATAAATACTCTTTATCTTATATCTATGAATAATGTTAGAGATATTAAATTTTCTACCAAATAAATAATAAAATGTCTCATATAAAAATAGAGTCTATAATTTTATAAACCCCACACCTATATAAGACATTTAATTATTTATTTAATAAACAATTTAAGACTGACAACATTTTTCTATACCTATAATCTAATATCGCCATACTAATCTCTTCCGTCAATCCCATCGTATTTTTAATTTCCTCCATCTTAGATAGCGAAACAAACGTGGCCCAAGGTATTTTTGATTACATCCCTATATTCCTCTGAATCTATGAGGCACCGTTCATTAGAGAGAGAGAGAATATGGAGGAGAGCGATGAGCTGAGGACGAGAGTCGTGTCGTCTGTTGCGGCCACAGCAAACCCTAACACTCAGGTCTTGAACAATTCTTCCAAAACCAGAGAAGAAGGCGAGCTCTCTTCGTCTGACGACGATGTAATTCCTTTCCAAAACCTTAATTCATCCACCATTTTTGCTCAATTCTATTCATTTTTCGATTCTCTTCCTTCATGCTTTACTTCCAATCCACGCCCTCACTCGATAAGATTGATCATACATACACCTCTCTAGACAATCTTGTAGATTTACCTCTGCTATTTCATTTTAAAGGGTTGTGGTGTTTATGTATTTAATTGCATTTCAATCCATTTCTATGTATAGAACAGTTCATGTTACTGATTTGTGTTTTTGGTTATCATTTTGGGTTTAATCAGTTCTTTTTTACTTGGTAATAGTCTTCTATGTTTTAGTCCTATATGTTTATTGTTCATTTCGATCTTTTGTAGTGTTCACGCAGATTCGAATGCTCTTGTACTCCATTCAATTTAGATTGATGTTTTAATATAATATTGCATTTGAAGCTATTTCAATGTATAGAATAGTTCATGTTAGTGATTTTCATGGCTACTGATGCAGTTTTTTTTGGTTTTTGTTTTTGTTAATGTTTAGTTGTTCTTACTTGGTAATACTCTTCTCGGTTTAGTCCTCAATGTAGCTTGTTTATTTTTGATCTTATGTGGTTCATGCAGATCTGAGTTTACTTGTACTCCGTTCAATTTAAATTGCTGTAATAATATAGACACTTGTTGGGTTGGGATACTTTTCACTTTCCATTTTTATTGCTTAAACGGTTAATGAAAGCGGTTCACTATCCTAAATGAGTGATTCTATCCCACAGGAACTTCCCGCTGCTTCGGCTTCTCAGTTCAATGATACCACTGCTGCTCGAGAGGAGCCTGTTCGAGTTGGTTCTTCAAACAAAATTGTTGAAGGTGCGAAAGACGGGCAGCTACTGTTAGCAGTTATGCTTGTATAGTTTATTTTACTAGTTTTATTATTTTTGTTTGAATTTGTGTTCGATCCTTCTATGTTGAGTGTTCTTCCATTTGTCATTTGCTCAGAACTGTGCCACAACACATTGACGGTTGATTTTTGTCTCAACGTTGCTTTAACCAAATTGGGATAATGATTTAACTTATAAAAGTCATTAATGCATAAATACATTTTTTAGATACTGGAGTAAAAATCATGATTTTATGTTTTACCAATTAAAGTTTTACATTTGTACATATATGCATATATACATTTAGTCATCTACATATTCTTCTTTACATAAAAATGCATATTAATCAAGGTTATTGAAATCAGGATACTAGGTAAATCATTGGGAGGGACTTATGGATTGGATTGTAGAATCGAATCAAGGATCATAAGTTTCTACTTTCAATGCAAAATAAAATGAAAAGTTATCGATAATGATAATGTATTTTACACAATTTTGAAATCATTAAAGAAAAATAATAAATTTGATGTAATGCATCTTTTATGTTAAACATAAATTAGATGAGACATTTGGAGAAGGAGTTTATAGTCAAATTTTTTACATAGACATGAACATATACATACATGTATAAGAAATAAATAATAAGAAATTTTTTTGGTAGGATTAGGATTGTAGTAGAATCGGGATCATAGTGCGATTCTACCTGATTTATAACTGGTATCATAGTCACTTTAAGATCCTAGTCAATACGGATCGTAAGATCCTATGATCCGGATTGGGATTATGATAACCATGATATTAATGCACTCTATGATCCGGATTGGGATTATGATAACCATGATATTAATGCACTCTCTGATTTTTCTATTTGTGCTGGTTCTGCAATCTAGGTGCATAGTTTCTGTTGATAAGAATGGACTTGGTGAGATTTGCTACTATAGTATACCACTTTCTCCCTAATTTATATTCCCATTCTCATTTCATTTAATATATTTGTTGCTATTTTTCTAACTCTTTAGCAATGGTTTGTTTATGTAGTTGTACAGCAATCGAGCTGTTAATCTAAGCTGTCACTTAACTTATCTTGGATGGTTTCTACCTACTTTGCAGGAAGGTGTGTTTCTACTAATAATCCTAAAAGCTTTGTCAATATACCTTCCAGAACTTCTGCACAGCTGAATTATCAAAAGAGCACTGAGAAGAATCGAGCTCCATTTGTGCCATTTGTGATAAGCTTTTCAGATGATGACAGTGGCAGTGACTCAGAAGAGTTCAGACATCCGAAAGCCTCAGAAACTAAAGGCAATGCACAAGGCATGGATGGGAATCGAAGACCACATGCTTCTGCAGTGCCAGAATCTCAAATACTACAACAAACTACAAGAAATGAATCCAGAGTGATGCCAAGGAAAGTGTCTTTGAGCCGTACCTTTGTCTCATCAATGACCAAAATCAATGGTCCAAATACCAGAAATGGACAGTCACTGGTCGAACAAAGAGCTCGTTTTAGAATTTCTAATACTCTCAATAAAAAATTAGCTGACCGGGAACATGGAGGTAACCAAAATATGCATTTGAACAGTAGTAAACTTCAAGATCTTCGCCAGAAAATTGCAATTAGGGAAAAGGAATTAAAGCTTAAGTCTGCCCAGCAAAATAAGGAAACAGTTTCCGGTACATCTAAGGATCATAACCTCATGGAATCAGACATTGATGCCGTTAGGGATTGCAGAGCAACTTCTGCTGATTTTGTACTGTTTGAAACGAAACAACCAGACAAGAAGCGCCCAAAACTCAATGAATCACATCAAAGTCAGCTAGTTTCAGATGTCCAGCAACAAATGCGTCCTGCACAGTCAGTGCTCCCATCAGAAAGGTCTATGCTGAAGAATGGTGGTGAGCAGATCATTAATGAACATAGCCATCGAGACAGAGAGACGCCTCTAGGCACAATGCACACAGGAGCTGCTCAACAGAAAAAGAAAGATGATACTCGGGGCCCTCTTTCTTCTGGAAATCAATCTACTGGTGTGAAATACGGTGAAGATGCTTCCTATTTCTGCTTATGCTACCCGATATTTTTTACCTGACTCTGAGATGCCTTTACCATTTGGGTGCTTACTTGTGCAGGTGCTGACATAATCGTTAATGATAGTCAATGTGACAGGCATTCTAAGTTGGTGGATTCGTCTATTTCATTAGAGCAGACCAAAAAGGTGGCAAATGACAGTGCTAAAACTTTTCCGAAGAAATCAGTAAGTTGCAAAATCATCCACTTAGCTTACTTGATGTTTCTTATGTGCAATACATTTCTCTGAAAATTGGTTGGATAAATCCTTGAGGACTTAGAACCGTGTCCAATGCTCGTTTAGACATTTTTGAAAATTTTGCCTTAATTTCCCTAGAAAGGGTGTTATTGCATGGGTCGCCTGCACTTTTGGCCAGAAATTTATCCTTCAGTTATTATCTTCGCTGTTATTTTTTATTTCTATGGTTTTTCTTCATGGCATACTTCTATATATATACACGTGTTTTATGCAATAAATGCACAGATGCAAACAACATAGGGCTATGCTCCATGTATAGATTCCGGGGATTGCCCTTGTAAAAATACAGAACTCGTGTCTCTGTCTAAACATCCTAGCTTTTATTAAAATTGCTAACCAACCCCCTCACCCCCAAAAAAAAATATATATATATATTTTTTTCCATCTTAGACTCTTATAGGAACTTGTTTCCCATTTATAATACTCTTGAAAAAGTTTGCTTTCTTTCAACTGAAGAGAAGTTATTTGGAGTATGTGGACATATGCTCCGATAAGTATCCCATATCCTCCATTTGGATTGTAATCATATAGACTCCTCCTTCCCATGGGTCTCCTCCTGCTTTCTTTTGAGCCTATCACTTGATCGAAGCAGGTTAGTGTGTGGATCTATTACTTTTAACATGCTAAGTTTCATACTTTCTCGGATCTAAGTTTAGACATGAACCTGTAGCTGAATTGATGCGGATCTAATCTTTATTGTTAGTTTCATGGAATTCCATTTTTTGGATTAATTTACACTTCCCCCCCCCCCCCCCCCTTGCGGGGGCCGTTATCATTCTCAATACCTTTTTGTGAGGATTAAGTTGTAGATTTGGGGATTTTCGTGGATTCAATTTTGTGAGGGTTAGTGTGTGGATCTATTGCTTTTATCATGCTAGGTTTCATACTGTCTCAGATCTAAGTTAAAACATCAACTTGTAGTTGGAAATGATGCCAATCTAATCTTTATTGTTAGTTTCATGGAATTCCATTTTTGGGTGATTTTTGTCCTTGTTTTAGTCATTTACAAGACTACCATTTCATGAGGATTGAGTTGTAGATTTGGGGATTACTCTGGATTCAATTTCGTGAGGGTTAAGTTGTTGAGGGTTATTGTGGGACTCAATTAAATTTGATAAAAAATGTAATCTTGTTTTTTAATCTTCTACATGTTGTACTTATTGTTATAATTTGGGTTATGAATATCCTTCTTGGTTTTCTTACTTCTTCCAATTGATAAAAAAGTGACTTGTGTTATATGGAGTCTTCTATTCCCCCAAAGTACCTGTGTCCACCTGACAAGAGTAAAGGTATGAGATATGTATCCAACACTTGTACTCAGTTTAGACACTTGGATCCTCTAATTTTTTACAATGTTTGAATAAGAAGAAACTCCACATTTGCTACTAAAGAAACATTTATGATCTCTCACATAGATGAGAGATAGAAAGTTCATCTTTTTCCTAAAACCTATTTAATTTCAAGTACAATTCTATATGATTTATAATATCTTATCTAAGAGTACTCTACAATAATATGTAGTATATGTAAGTGTCCATGATGCGTTCTGTACTCGTACCTAACTTTTTTGGATACATATTCCAATGTCTTAAAATTTAGGTTTAAGAAGGTATGACGCTTGGACATGGACCCCCACGAGCACCCAACGCTCATACCCGAGTCCATGAAACATAGAATGTGACTATTTATTAATCATGTTTTCTATCTCCTGAGCTAGAAATTAAATAAGAGACTGCTTTTCTTTTTTTTGTTCTAATAGCAACTTTGGTTCATTTCTCATTTTGGAGACTAGAGAACTCTACATGAAAGCAAATGAATCTCAGTTTTGAATTTTCCTATTTCATACAAAATTGGTGGTGGCGAAGGTATATATAGTTGTATAATATTTACTGTATGCCTGCAACCAAAAAAAAAAAAAAAAAAAAAAAAAAAAAAAAAAAAAAAAAAAAAAAATACCATTTAAAAATTTCTCATTTGTGGGTTGTTTGCTATTCTTAGTCTCTGCTTATGAGAATGAGCTCTCATGCTCTATGCTTGCCACACAATGAGTGTTGTAGAATTGTTTACTAACTTGATGGAGGTGTTATATTTCCTAGTTTTGAAATTGATCAGCTTAGGGCTCTCTACAACACTATATACACTTAAATCTGTGCCAAAATTAATGTCACTTTGGATATACTTGCAATCAATTTGTTTCAGTTTTTCAACGTTTTACAATACTCATGTTTTTCTACTCTGATCCTTCCTTTATAGAGCACTGTGGAGTCAAAGCATGGTAGTGAGCTTAATTGTTATCGTACAAGAATCTCAAACAAAGCAACCTGTGGACATAATCTAACTGTGGGCAGCGAGCTTCATGAAGTTAGATCTGGTGAGGATGCATGTAAGCCTACATCAAACAATACAAATCAGGCATGTCCTGTCCATGTTCCAGATGGCAACTTAGAGACCTCTGATGTATGTTATAAACCATCTTTAATGGAGTATTTGTTGAATTACTGAATTGTTCATGAGAATTAGTTCTGATTGTGATTGACTTATTTTTATTTAAGGTATCCCTCAACAATGCAAGCCTCTGCAATTGTTTGGGTACATTAAGTATAACACAAGATAACATGGATTTGCGGTCGATACTTGACATTGAGGAATTGCAAGACAAGGAGTTGGAGGAGGCACAAGAGCACCGGCGTACGTGTGAAATTGAAGAACGAAATGCTCTTAAAGCTTATCGTAATGCCCAAAGGGCTTTGATTGAGGCTAATGGTAGATGCTCTTATCTCTATCAAAAAAGGGAACTCTACTCAGCCCACTTACAATCTCTAATGATGGAGAATTCAAGTTCGTTCTGGTCCTCTAGACTGCATAATTGTACTGGAGCTGGGCTGAATTTCTCAAATAACATTTCAGAAGATAATATGCATCAATTGCCTACATCTATCCATGAGATGCAAGATGAATTTAATGCTTATAATCAACAAGGTCATCATTCAAACATCCAAACTGCCAATGGTGCTCTTCAAATTGTGTCAGATCAGCATGCTGATGGGCACGATTTGGCCTCTGATCCGTGCAGTGAGCCTGATGCTAGTACATCAGAGGCTCGTAAAGACGACAAGGTGGCAGATGGAATCTGCTCTCCATCCAGTGATTTAAATGTTTCGGCAGATGAAGATGAAGAGACATTTTCATTTGACCATAAATCTGTTTACTCTGGTCTCGATTGTCAGACAAAAGAAGAAAATTATGGAGAAAGGGCAAAGGGCATAGCTGATGAGCGAAAAAGAAAGTTTCCTTTTGATAACTCTCAAGATTCTTTACTTCTTGAAGCAACCTTAAGGTCTCAACTGTTTGCTAGGCTAGGAACAAAAGCATTGCCAAAGAATAGTGGTCCAACTCACAACATGGAACCTGCTGTTGTAACTGGGGCTGGACATGGTGGTGCTGCAGGGCAAGCAGAGACGAGTGTTGGGAATGAATCATCCTCTGTGGTAGCGAAAAACCAACATTCTGGAGGTAGCTTTCTTTGAGCAAGTCCTTTGGTATATAGAGCCTAACTGCCTAAGTAGCAATGCCAGATATTAGAATTATATACATAGTATTTTATATATAGAATCATATATTGTTCACTCATGATCCTTTCACTTCCCCAATTCTGTTCTTCTTGCATTGTAGAAATCTTCTTTGCTACTTGCATCAAGATAATTTGGTATTTAGTGTAGTTTACTCTTCGCATTACCTGACTGAAAGAGATGATGAAGGTGTGAATGCAAAATTATTGCTTCAAAGTGTGCTGGATTTTGGATTCAACAAACTTTGTAACACTCATTTTTTAATAACCTCTTATCTATTTTGGGTAATTCCATAACTAATTTATGCGATTAAGTTCTCAATGCTATACATCGGAGGGAAGCTAGTGATGGATCTGACATTTATGTTTTTAGTTGCATCAGGGTCTCTATGATAATTTTTTCTCCCTTTTTTTCTTTTTATGTTTTTCCTCATGCTTGTGTTTGAACTTCTTAATGCATTTGTTCTTTTTTTTTTTTTTTCCCCGAGAGGGATTGTCTAGTCAATTGATCTATGGTCCTGCTGTGATGTTTTATAATTTGAATGACCGGTATATAAACTTTATCTACATGGTGAAATGCTGTACATATCAAGGCTTTATTACATGAGAGCCTTACTTATTTCTCAAAAGTGATTCCACAAAAGTTAATGTAGTTATGTTATGCATTAAGGAACTAGCTTCATTGAACTAAATACTGCATCGTTGAATTCTCGTCATTTGTCAAATACTCCTATAAGTTAGGCTTGATTTGATGTCTAGTCAATTGATCTATGGTCCTGCTGTCATGTTTTATAATTTGAATGGCTGGTTTATATATCTACATGGTGAAATGCTGGTGTAATCAGCTGTTAAGTTAACTAACACTTTAATGTGATCCTCCTAATGTCCTATTTGGTGTTTTGTTTATTCTAGTATGGTGACCTGTACAGTGTACCCATTTTGTGATGATAATTACAACTTTTAATAGTTATTAAAATGTCCTCACTTGATTATTTGATGCTCAACAAACCATTATTGTCTTTTCCTTTATTGTTTCATTGTATGATTAATTTTGTTGAGAATATTTAGGTACTGATGAGGCAGAAAAGGGTATATCTGAGCTTCCTGTTCAGATCGATGAGGGCCATGTTGCGAACTTTTCTTCTAATTATGCATCTCCTACTGCTGATCCTTTGGATAGCCGTTTTTTCACAGAAGATAACCAATCATCAAGATCTGTTATCTTTTCATCTCCCATTCGAAGGAGTACATTTGGTCACCTGAAGGTTACAGAGCCAGTCAGTTTAGTTGGATTACAGAGTAGAAGTAAACCAATTCACAGTTATGATATTTGCAATGAAGAGGGCAATAGTGTTAGCTCTACTGAAATCCAGCCAAGCATTTTGAGTTCAAACTCAATGGATGAGACTTTGATGGATATATGTTCTAGGAAAGTTGGCTGTTACACCTGTAATCTTGCAATCGATCCATTTTGGCCACTTTGCATGTTTGAACTCCGGGGAAAATGCAATGATGATGAGTGTTCAAGGCAACATGTTAAAGATTACTCTCGCCAAAATATGAACCTTGAGAATTGTGATAGTGCCGGTATGAAACACTTGTATAAAATCTGTACGAAATTTGGAAACCTGAATTCCTCTGTTTTAAAGTAACTTTGAAGTTATTTTCTTCTGCAGATTGTCAGGTTGGATCATCAACCCACAAAGGAAATGCAGCAAATATTTCCAAGGGTCTTGATTTGGCACCACCAACATATCTAGTTTGCTTAGATGTGCTGAAATCTGATTTGCATCCTTATGGATCTATTCTTTCACAAGGTGTTGGACAGTGTTGGCAAAGGTGTTTCAGCACTTCCTTGGTTCTTTCAGGTTTGCTTCATTCAGATTCACCTACAGACAAACCATTCTTGCACGGCACTGAAGCTCGTATTGAGGTCAATGGGAGTTGGAATAGTCAATCACTATATTTTCAAAGTAGAAATGGCACAATGGTTTGTTGAAGAACTCTTTTCTTCTCTCTCTCTCCGTTGCTAATTTCTGGAGACAATTACTAAAAATTCCTCAAATACTTTGTAACTACAACTCAACCTATAGTTAATTTTGTAAATCTCCTTTTTTTTTTTTTTTTTTTTTTTTTTTTTTTTTTTTTTTTTTTTGTTGTCTTCATACCACACTACTCGACATTGCCTTAAGCTCAATAGCCTGGTGTTGGCTAGATGCTTTGTTACATGGTCTCTTGTAAAGGAGTCTATTCAACTACCAAGCAAGTGTTTCTGGTAGTTTGTGGCAACAACTACGAGAAACATGTGCCTGGTGAATGTCCAACTAGATTTGTATGTAGAACACATCTTAAAAAAAGGGTGTTTCTGGTAGTTTAAGACTTTAAGTTTACAGTTATACATAGAATAGAAGTTTGTCACTATTCACTTTTATGATGTTGTTACATCAAAATGTGTGAAGTATCAATTATTTACGTTCTATGTTACTTAAAAATGCAATTTTACCCTAGAACTAAAAGAAGAATCTAAGAAATATGAAAGCGTAAGGGAGGCTAAAGGGGTGTTTTCTGTGTCTTCTTTTTATCGGGCGCAGTTGGGGGCCGGGGATATTTCATTCCCTTGGCGAGGGGTTTGGGTTTCTAGGGTGCCATCTAAAGTGGCTTTTTTTGTTTGGTTGGCTGTACATGGTTGGATTTTGACCTTAGATAATTTGATGTGGCGTGGACATGTTTTGGTTAATTGGTGTTGTTTGTGTTGTCATGATGTGGAGTCTTATGTCAAATCTTCTTCTTCTTCATTGTGCAGTGACATTTCAATTATGGGGGTTGTTTTTTGGTGTATTTAATTTGGTTTGGGTGCAACAGGGGACGGTGAAGGAGGTGTTGGCTAGTTGGAGAGGGAGTAGGGTTGGGAAGAGATGTTGAAGGCTTGGCTGTTGGCTCCTTTATGTTTAATTTGGTTGGTGTGGTTGGAGCGGAAGCGTCAGATGTTCGAGGGTTTAGCAGCTTTGGTTCCTTGTTTGAAAAACAAGTTGTTGATTGTTTTACATAGATGGGTGTCAGGAACTGTGGATCTGGATGTATTTGCTTTTTGGATTTCACTGAGTCTTTATTTCTTCATTGATTGTAGTTATTGGGTTCTTTGCATCATCTTGATGCTTTTTTAATAATATTGTTCTTATTTGTCAAAAAAAAAAAAAAAAGAGAAAAGAAAAAGAAATATGAATGTGTTAGCCGTGTTTAGTGTCCTTGTAATTGGGGATTGGATGAATCTAATACGTGAATTCAATTTTGCAGCCAACACAACATAGGCTAGATGAATAGTCATTCTCCATTCAGCTTCGTATACAATATTGGCTTCAGTTTTATTCTTTGCAATTTTTCCATCTATTGAGGCCCTGATCCATGTTCTCTATCATCTCCTGGGCAATCATGTCTCATATCCCATGTCCATAAAATTCTGGAGTGTTGTGTTTATATATGTATTTTTTATGTTGCTCAATATGCTTGAGGAATTAATTCATCCTGGGGATTTTGAAAGTTTTTGTATCTTTTTCCATAGGCTTTCAAATGGTGCAGCTAGCGTGCAAGTAGCTTGCAAATGTAGTTACAATCTCGTTCTTACAAATATTTAAATTTAAATTTGTGAAAAAATCTCGAGGGGTTTCCTTGAATTCCTAATATGATAGCCATGGCAATTCAAATTTGAATTCAAGTCTCTTCCAAAGTTCTTCTTGTCCTTTGAGGTGCATAGGGTTGAATGGGATGAAGTATTTGTGTTCCCTCTTTAAGTAGATATTGATACCAAAAATACTCTTTGCTAGCTTGCCAACCTACTTCATGTCCCTTTTTACTATTCATGCTTTGGTGGCTGCTGATAGATTGGAGAAGCTTCAATAGAACTTATTGGAATACATTGTAGCCCAATCATGGAAGGAGGTTCGGGCGTTCACTATTTTAAATTGTTCAAAAAAGTTTGTTGTGGAAATGGTCGTGGCGATATGCATTACAAGAAGGTGGTTTATGGTGCACTATAAATGATTGCAAATTTGAAATGGAAATTGGTGGTTGGACCTCTAAGGATGTTAAGGGATCTTATGGAGTTGGATTTGGATGAGATCAAGAAAGGATTGGCAGATCAGATAGCTGAGCTTTGGCATGGGTGATGTTCTCAGAGTAAAATTTTGGCAAGATGTGTGTTGTGGGGATTGCCTTCTTATCGAGACCTTTCCAAATCTTTAATGCATTGCTATGACTAAGAATGTGTTTGTTTTAGATTATTTAAGGACTGTGAGTCTAGATTCTGGTATAGTGATTGGGGGTTGGAGGTAGTGTATGAATTCTTTGAACTCATGTATGGGATGGAGATCAATTGAGAAGGCAGGATGTGATGGAGTGGAAAGAAGGTACCAGAAGATTTTCATTTTGGTCATTCCATTACTTTTGGGTGGTAGGGATAGTTAACATTTAGGGAAGAGCATTTGGAAAACAGGGAAGAGCATATGGAAGTTGAGGGTGCACCGTGAACAGTGTTAAGAAGTGTGAATGGTGTGGGTACATATGTGCTTGGCGTGATGTGTGTGGAGGGAATGAAGTTAGGCACTTTTGAGGATACTTAGATTTAATAGGTTAAAGCTGATGTTGCTGCAACATTTTCATTTTGTGTTCAATGTTAAGTTTTGTTAATCTTTTTTTTGTTTTGTAGATTTTTTTGTAGGTCAACATAATATTGTTTTTAGCTTTTTACCCCGAATTGTGTATGCCTAGTGTACAGAGGTTAAGCCCCTTTTGGCATATTTAGTGGATTTTTTAATCCATCCTAAAATTGTTATTTTTTCATCCATGAAATAGAAATGATACCATTTTCTTTAGGTATCTCTGGTTAGATGCATTTTTATATTTCTCTTATTCTGATGTGTCTTTCTGTCCTGTCTCATTTTTTGTATCAATCATTTAATGTGTAACTGTGTTACTGTCTTTTATTGGCTACCAATTTGTTTTAACTTTCTTTACCTGCATGGTTTTTACTTAGAGTCAACTTGATCAGCGGTTTACTGATAATGACCAAACGCTGGAAATGGCTCTTCTTAATCTCAAGAGAAAGGGTAGGATAGAGGTAATTTTATCATTTTGCACACAGGATAACAATCTGTAATATCATAATTATTTCAATTTTTTTAATTTTTAATTTTTATATTATGTTTTTGTATTCTGACATATGCAGGCTCTTAAAGTGCTTGCTCGAGCTCTAGAAGCCAATCCATCATCTGCCGTTCTCTGGGTGGTTTATTTACATATTTTCTATAGCAGCGAGAAGTCAATTGGGAAGGATGACCTGTTTCGTTTTGGGGTATGTTGCTATATGTCTTATTCTTCTTTATAATGAAAATGGAGTTTCTATGAGTGTGGAGACTCTTATTAGTCTGTTTTCAGTCTCATTTAGAACTTGAGCACCATTTGGAGACCCCTAGCTGCATTATGGTTGGCCCTGATATCAAAATCTGTTGATGGGCATTGAGTTCTCTGCACTAGTTGAAACTCCCAATTCTCATTGCAACAGTTTTGTTTGAGACTAATTATGTTTGGCATGTGTACACTAATGGACTTTTGAAGATTAGGAGTCTTAGTGCTTTGTTTCTTTGGTGGTTGAAATTTTTTTCACTGTATATTTATGCATGTGTGTGTATATATGTTTTGTAATTTTAAAAGGGAGGGGTCGCATAAGAATACTATGAAGCATGGGGAAGTTGGTTATGAGTGTTGTTATTGAGTTGTGGACGTGAGTATTTGTGACCTCATAGGCAAGTGAGTTTACAAAGGATAAACACAGTGTTGATGTTGTTTCTTTCTCTGAAGAGATTAACTATAAAATGTTTGACATCAATGATCACCATCCAATACAAAGAGGTTGTGAGCCTTGTATCACTTTCACAATTTTTGCCTCAATATAACTTTTCATAATCTATCAAAATTGCTATGATGCACCAAACCAACTACTGACAGTGTAAGAATGCTGATATGGGTATTTCGGAATTATCTCTTTTGTGTGTTTCAGATTCTGCCCTATGCAATTTTTAATTGTTTTTTGTTGTATGGAATGTTTACTGCCTGAAATCAGCGACAAAGTTGGCGGTCCTTTGAGGTTTATTTGGTATGAAATGTGCAAGCAGAATATGAACTGTTGATAATATGGTCCCTGTAGTGAACCATTGGATTCTGCATCTCAGGGTGAAAATGAGCCAAATTATTGGTTCATATGTGCCTGGATTCTTGAACTTATATTTGGCTGGGTTGACTTGAAATTTAGGGTTGGTTTGGGATGTCCTAAAAAAGTGTACTTTTTGACTTATTGGTGAGTTTGGGTTGGGTTTGGGTTGGGTTTGATGTGATGTGTTAGAGAGGTGATGTGATTTAAATAAGATGATGTGACTTAAATAAGATAGTGACTTTTTGACTTTTTGACTTATTTAGTACATGCCAAACTAGCCCTTAATCAAATCCAACTTTCCTGAAATGAGACAGCTCAAGCTCCTTTCAGATTGGGCTCCTTTGTTTCTATGTAGGCTGCTGTACATATCAAGGCTTTATTACATGAGAGTCTTACTTATTTCTCAAAAGTGATTCCACAAAAGTTAATGTAGTTATGCATTAAGGCATATTTACCAGCTTCATTGAACTAAATACTGCGTTGTTGAATTCTCGTCATTTGTCAAATACTCCTATAAGTTAGGCTTGATTTGATTTCTTGGAGCGATGGACATGCTCCAAGGACAGTTATTTCTCAAAAAAAAAAAAGGAAAAAGGGAGGCTCCAAGGACAGCCTATTCATTGAAAAGTCTTTGAGGAGGCTCTTAAATTGCATCTTAGAGTTCATACATGACAAAAACAAGCAGAGCACCATACCACTTGCATTGGGAGACCATCTTGCCATCATTGTTTACGTTCTCAATGTTCAAGCAATCAGAGCACTCATTTAGTCTAGATTACAGTCTTTGTTTTTTCTTTGAGAATTGAAAAGTGAATTATCTGTAAACACTTTTATTTTGTTCTCCAGGTTGAACTCAATGAAGGATCTTATGAACTTTGGCTTATGTACATTAATAGTCGGATACAACTTGAGGATCGTTTGGTTGCATATAATACTGCACTCTTGACTCTCTTCCGCCATGCATCTGCCACTGGCAGTGATGCAGTGCATGCAAGCGCATGTATCTTGGACCTTTTTTGGCAGTTGGTTAATTGTTTGTGCATTTCTGGTAATGTTGGCAAGGCCATTGAGAAAATCTATGGACTTTTTCCCTCTACAAAGGATTCTGATGAGCCACATTCTCTGTTGCTTTCCGATATCCTTCCATGCTTAACCCTTTATGACAAATGTATCTTCTGGCTCTGCTGTGTGTACTACATAGTCTACAAAAAACTGCCTGATGCTATAGTGCAGCAGTTTGAATGTGAGAAAGAACTTTCTGAGATAGAGTGGCCTTCTACGCATTTAACAGTTGATGAGAAGCAGCAAGCAGTTACATTGATGGAAATGGCAGTAGATTCTCTAGCTTTGTATATAGATAGTGGATCTCTTGAAAGTGAAAGTACTCTTGAGGCAGCACACATGTTTGCTCTCAACCACATTAAGTGTATAGCAGTGCTTGAAGGCTTAGAATGTAGTAAGAACTTGTTGGATAAATACGCCAAACTGTACCCTTCATGCTTAGAACTTGTTTTAATGTCAGCACGGATGGCGGAGGATGATTTTGGGGATTTGGGTTTTGTAGGATTTGAAGAGGCTCTTAACAACTGGCCGGAAGACGTCCCAGCAGTTCAGTGTATCTGGAACCAATATGCTGAATTTGCCCTCCAGAATGGTAGATTTGATTTTGTGAAAGAATTAATGAATCGATGGTTTCATTCGGTTTGGCAAGTACAGTATTCTCGATATGAAGTAGATTTGATGGATGGAGAGAACTCCCTTGGCTCACTAGATTTAGCTTCAACGTCGAATCCTGATGCTTGGTTTTGTAATTCTAGTGAGATAGATATTGTGTTTGGATTGCTTAATCTCTCTCTCCACAAATTATTGCAGAATGATCTCGTTGAAGCTCGCATTGCCATTGACAGGGCATTGAAAGTTGCTACTGAGGATTACAAGCATTGTGTAAAAGAGCATGCCATGTTTTTGCTTGCGAATGGTTCACAATTTAAGGAAAATACTCCTGTTGGAATACTGAATATCCTGAGAGGTTATCTGGTCGACGCCCGGGCTTTCTCCACCCATCAACCATTGTCCAGAAAGTTCATTCAGAGCATCAAGAAGCCAATAGTTCAACAAGTAGTTAGCAATATATGGAGTCCAGTGTCATCTGATTTCTCTCTGGTGAACTTGGTTCTTGAGGTATGGCATGGCCCGTCTCTCTTACCCCAAACATTTAGCAAGCTAAACGATCTGGTGGATTTGGTTGAAGCTGTTATGGGGATTATCCCATCGAATTATCAGCTAGCAATGTCTGTCTGCAAGCTGTTGAGCAAACGCTCTGACCCTGTTGATGTGACCTCTGCGAGTGTTTCGTTTTGGGCAAGCTCGCTCTTAGTCAATGCACTCTTTCAGGCAGTTCCGGTAGCAGCTGAATATGTATGGGTAGAAGCTGCTGATGTTTTGCAGAATCTGACAGATATTCAGTCCATCTCTGAGAGTTTCCATAAGAGAGCTTTATCTGTATATCCATTCTCCATAAAGCTGTGGGAATCCTATCTCAAGTTATCTCGGACTACAAGAAATACAAGTTCTGTAATTGAAGCAGCAAGAGAAAGGGGAATCAAACTCGATTGACATTGAAGGTAGATGAGGAATATAGGTTGCATTTGCATCAGCTGAAGAAATTTTTGGGGCCACTTTCTAGGCTGAAGCTTAATCTGTAGGTGGTACCAAATTGAATTGTAAGTCTTTGCAAATTTTGAATTTTGTGTTTGTAGGTTCATGAATGGATGTTGGTTTCATTGTAGGAACCTTGAAAAGGCATACTGAGTAGGAGGATAATTGATAGGTTTTCTAGCTGTCACCAATTCTGTGAGATTTGGTAAAGAAGTTTACAGGATTCTGTTCTTCTTCTTAGATAGACTTTACCACTTGTGTATATTTTGAGAAAAGAGTTGAAGAATTCTTTTTGGTTCTCTCATTTTTATGTTACTGTACGCCAGTGTGATTCATGCCTAGTATTAAGCATTTTCATAACCAAAGTCAAATCCTATTACATTAACACAGATATGCATGAGATGCTCTGTTATCAAAATCCGTGTCCTCCATTCTCAAAACTCACTCAACCACACGATTGTGACTTGAGAATCTTATGAATGCCAAAAAAGTAAAAATATCAGTAATATATTACTTGTGGGGAGTTTGTCCTTAGTGGTGATTAGGAAGAGTAATGTATCCATCTGATGAAGGCTAATCTGTGTTGTGTGGCTTACTTCGGAATCTAGAGTAGGACATTATCATTTTCATTTTTATTCACTCTTCTAGTTATTCAATTAATATGGATAACTATATGAAGTTATTAGTTGGAATCAAAGTTATTTATTTATTCATTTTGACTCTTAATGTGTTACATATAAATTACAAGTGTTTCTTTTTTTTTTTTATGTTGTTATAATGAATAAATTAATTACATCAAAAGTTTCTTTTAATTTATTTATTTTAATAATACAATGTTGATTTGTAGGCATCAAAATCTCATATTTCACTATGGTATGTGTTTTGTATCAATCCATTAATAAAACACCAAATTTATCCAATATTTAATACTTTTGGAAACATGCCTTTCAGTAATTTTTTGACTTTTTGGTTAAAATATGATGTAAAAAAAATTAATATATTTGGGATGACTTTTTGGTTTTTTGATGTGCAAAAAATAGAGAGAATTTTTGACTTTTTGGTATAAATTATTGACTTTTTGATTTTTTTAATGACTTTTAAATATTTTAGCTAAAAAATAATATTGCCAAATGAAGCCTAGTATAGTATTATTGTAATTAATTTGTTGTGGTTCGCTCCCATGACCTATTTGTGGCTACTAAAAATGGTTCACAAATCCTTGAATATTACGAATAATTCTTGGCATTTTTTTTTAAAATGTGAAAAACTAAAAATAAAAGAAAATTTATTGGAAGATGTACACTCTTAAAAAAGGTATATATTATATGCACTTTATCATAATTTTCATAACATTTATACCATATCATTCCTAACATATAATTATAGTGATTATGACTATCACTTTACAAGTAATACACTATAAATTCGCCTATAATTTTTACCACAAATAACATAACAACACAATTTGACAACATTTCTTATAGTGTATCTTCTTAGTACACATCATAGATTTTTCTAATGTTATTATATACACATTAAAAAAAAAAATACTATATGCATTAATTGGTATATCAATTAGTTTACTAACGGATGACGTGACATAATTTTAGAGATTTTGAGTCTTTTTAATTTGTATAATGGGTGAAGTTAATTTTAAAATGACAATGTCATAACTATATCGGTATACTAATTAGTATACCAATTGATATATGTAGAACCACTATAAAAAAAAAATGCATTCTATGTACTGTTTTAGGTATAATTGAATATAACTTTAGTCATAATTAAAATTACAATAAAGGTTGAGACCCCCTTTGGGGGTCACCCCCTTCACCCCCTTTGCATTTGATTGGCTAACTTTTTTTTTTTTTTTTTTTTGATCTCCCAATCCCCAACCCCCACGTGTGTGTGGGGGGTGGTGGGGGTGGGACTTTTGAGGGAGGATGAATCATTGTTGTTAAAATTATAATTGTAATCAATACATCACCAAATATCACTTAAATTTGATACATGATTGGTCGTAATTCGAAACCAAACACCACAACAGTTGTAACTAATACGAATGTTTATCATAATTTATTTATAATATGCAGAATGTAACCCAAAAAGTGATCAGGTAAATGAGTCTATTGAAATGATAATATAATATATTTTTTTGTATTTTTAATTAATCTAATTCACAGATGAAAAAAAATCATCAAATCTTAGCAAAAAATGAAAAAAAGGAGAAATTACAAAATAAATTATAGAATTTCACCTTTATAACAAAATAGATTTTAAATTTTATTAATTTAAACTATAATATTTGAATTTATTTTCAATTTAAACCATTAATTTATTTCTTTTAAGTAAAATCGACCGAAAAAAAATAGGATTATAATCTTTAAATTCAATATAAGTGTACATAAAATATTCAAAATATCATTTTTTGTTGGTTTAATGATTAAAATATAATTTTTATGCTATTTTTATTTAACAAAAATAGAGAATTTATTTAGATTAAAAATAAATCAAAAATTTAAAATTTCAATTGATAAAATTAAGATGGGAAAATTGGTCTAGGGTCCCTCTCCCACTTTTCGTAATGGAAGAGATTCACAAAATTATTTTTTGATATCTAAGATCCCTAAACATATATCAGAGAAATTTTAGTCCTTTATACTATCTTCATCATCTGACCCACCGCTACTCCAACAACTCGACTCTGAGTCCTCCTCGTCTTCCAACACTTCCCAAAGCTTTACCCAGTGGAGATTCCCACTCCCAAACTCACCCATCTCACACCACTATCACCCACTACCACCACCACCGCCGGAATCTGACCCATCACCACCCCAAACCCACAACCACCGCCTCCAGAACTCTTCCACCTCGCCGAGCTCCAACTCACTTCAAACTCCGATTCTGATCGACTGCCCCAAGAGTTTCTCATTCTCATGCTCCAAGCAGTGCCCCAAGAGTGGGACCAACCTTTGATGCAAAGCCTTGCTGAAAAATTCCAATTCCAACATGTAAGATTCTTTCCTGAAGGAACTCAAATCAACCCTCTTGATAACCACAGGGAACCCACCTTCCAATGTAACCGATCCGCCGCATTTTGGACGGATGCGTGATGACGAGCGGACGGTTGCGGATTGATTTTCTCCAACCCGCCAATTTGGCGGACGGATAGCGGATTTGAGGTTCTTTTAGCCGTAACCGAACCGCCAAACCGCGAACACCCTTAGTAATTTATAAGACTTTGTGTTTTCAATTTGTTAAAATATTTTGTTTGTGTTTTCAATTGAAAAATAATTCAAATATTCAGTTGAAAAAAAGTTTTCAACTTGAATATATTTTGTGAATTGAAAAAAATAAACGTATTATTTATCTATATTTCTTGGTTTTTAAATCTAACTCTAAAAGTAATAAATAGAAAATATGATATATGATGGTTGCTTTTTGTTTTCAAAAATATATATAAAATGTAATAATACAGAGACATACAATCTATACTATTGCTCTGTTCATGGTTTTGGTGGTTTGAATTGTTTTTATATTTAAGAATCACAGATTGTAATACTTTATGTGGATGAGGCATGCTGTGATTGTAATATGTGGATGAGGCATGCAACGATTGTGATATTCTAAAGTTTCAAACTTTCTTTCTTTGGATGAGGCATGCAGTAATTGTAATACTTTTTTAAGTCATTGACTGTAATATTTTCTTTTTTTTTTTTTTTTTGAAGTGCACAGGTTGAAATATGTTGAAAATTTATAAAATTTCAAACCGCTAAACCGATTCGCATCCATCCGTCAACCCGCCAATCCGCTCAATCCACATCTGTCGAATTGGCGGACGGATGCAGATTGATTTTCTCTAATCCGTCAATCTGGCGGACGGATGGCGGATTGGAAGTTCCGTGGCCGTAACCGACCCGCGCCCACCCTTAAATCGCATACATCTTCGTCTCCGAAGCCCTCGTGATCCAGGCGCTCATCTTCATCTCCTACGCCGGACTCAAGATTCGTGACATCAAGCTCGTCTCTCGCGCGGTGCTGCCAAGGTTCATCGCGGCGGACGTGAGGGCCGAAAGCTACGATGTGTTCGAAAAGTGTGAGAGGAAAGCGGTGGTTACGGCGAATCTAACGGTGATGGTTAAGCCGTTCGTGAGGGATTACTTGGGAGCAGATAAGGTGTTGGGGACGGAGATTGAGGTGGTTGAAGAATTTCTCTGGATTGAAGTGTCCAGAGAAATTTGAAAGACCAAAAATATAATTAAACAGATTTTCTTTGGATTGTTTTAGGTTGTTGTTGTTGTTGTTGTTGTTTTTTTTTTTTTTTTTTTTTGGTGATGTAGAAAATATTCAAGAATTTCACTGAATTGAATTCAGTGAATCACACCATGGCCCAAGAGGGTATTCCGAAACTCAAAAGTTGTCCAATCCTACTGCAGGCTGTCCCTCAGTAAGTTCCATCTTTGAAACTGCAGCATTACAATGGGTTTGTGCGACTTGAAATTCCCTCAGTAAGTCAGAGAAATTCTTTGTAATAGAGCCTGAGAAATTTGTGAAGTTAGAGAAATTTCCTAGATCAATGTACAATCACCAATTTCTGTTCATAAAAATACAACTTTACTGTAAATAGAGAGAATTTCTCTGGTTTCAATCTAGAGAATTTCTCTAGTTTGTCTGGTTTGAAGAGAATTTCTCTGGTTTTGGATTAGAAAATTTTGTGGTCTTGTAGGTTTGTTAGACATGGGTTTAATTGTAGTTAATAGAGCTAGAGAAATTTGCGAAGTCAAAGAAATTTCCTGAATAGCCATACAAATTTCCTCTCCACAATTTTCTCTGGATTTATTTGGTACTCAGAGAAATTTCAATTTTCTCTGGAGAGAATTTCTCTGGAACTGAAATTTCTCTAGATTTCAATTTTCTCTGGAGAGAATTTCTCTGGAACTGAAATTTCTCTGGATTTCAATTTTCTCTGGAGAGAATTTCTCTGGAACTGAAATTTCTCTGGATTTCAATTTTCTCTGGAGAGAATTTCTCTGGAACTGAAATTTCTCTGGATTTCAATTTTCTCTGGAGAGAATTTCTCTGGAACTGAAATTTCTCTAGATTTCAATTTTCTCTGGAGAGAATTTCTCTGGAACTGAAATTTCTCTAGATTTCAATTTTCTCTGGAGAGAACCGAAAAAAAATAAGATTATAATCTTTAAATTTAATATAAGTGTACATAAAATATTCAAAATATTATTTTTTGTTGGTTTAATGATTAAAATATAATTTTTATGTTATTTTTATTTAACAAAAATAGAGAATTTATTTAGATTAAAAATAAATCAAAAATTTAAAATTTAAATTGATAAAATAAAGATCCCGAGTTTATTTTTTTAAATTGATAAAATAAAGATCCCGAGTTTATTTTGTTATGAAAGTTGTTTTTTTTTTTTTTTTTGGGGGAATTTCCCCCTCCCCTTCCAAAAAAAAAAAAAAAAAATATATATATATATAAAGCCCAAAATAGCACAACATTACTTTACTCTTCTAACGTGCGCTGGTGATATCCATTTTAGGTTAACCGTTAACCCCACGTCGTTCTCCTCAAGCCTAAACCCATAAAACCCTCGGAACAAAGCTAGGGCAAAACCACAGGCCACAGCGTCGCTCTCGCTCTCGCTCTCGCTCTCGCTCTCGCTCTCTTCTTCGTTGAAGATGAATAATCTGAAGCTGTGTTGGGAGTTCACGTCGAACCTCCAGTTGCAGTCGGAGGATGAAGCCCTTCGCTTTGCGGCGTTCGATATCGAGCGAAACCGCTTGATCTTCGCTTCTTCGGCCAATTTTATATACACTACTCAGCTTCCTTCATCCCATGTAAGCTCAATCTCATTGTTTTTGATTTCTATGAGTATTTGAGAATCCAATACGATTTGAGCTTCAACAGCTTTTTTATATTTGAATCAACTCAGTGATAACATTGAAAAAGGTTTCATTTATCTCTCAATTAAGGATTATGTATGAAACGCCTTTTAGGAATCTATAAATCATTACACGGATAATGATATTAATTTTAGAGACTGCACGTATCCTCAATTTGCATTATTTTTTTTAATAATTTACCAATTTTACTGAAAGATTTTTTCAAAGTTTGGTTTGAAAATATTTTGAACGTTTGGAAAATTCGAGAAAGATTGTTTTTTTTTTTTCTTAATTATTTTTGTTGTGATGTCATCCTATATCAATTTACTCGAAAGTTTGGCTGAATTTTTGCAAACTTTTGGAAAGGGACATTTTTTTTTAGTTAATCAAATGTTCAAAATTTCCAATTTTTGGCCGTAAAACTGAAGATGGGAGAAAATTCAAAATTTGGAGTTTTTTTTTTTTAATTATAAATAATTTGATTGAAATGTGTTTTGAAACCTTGTTTAGAGTTCAAAAATAAATTTGGCGGTGGGGATTCCTAAAGGCTTTGATGGGAACTCCATATGGATTTTATCATCTTAATTAAAAATTCTGGTGTAAAGTTTAGGTTTTTTTTTTGGGGCTAAGTAACAAAATTTAGGAGCTTTTGAACTGAATCTTGTACCTAAATTGTGATAGGGCTTGAGGTTAACTAGAAAAAGCTCATGTTTGGCTTGAGCTTAATTGAGGATTTGGCTTTGACTGGAAGATTAAGGATTAGCAACCCATTACTTTGCGTTAGAATGAGGTACTGATTTTTTTTTTTTCAGCCCATTATTTTTCTCACATGGGCAATATGGGTAAGTGGAGATTTAGGTACTTAAAAAAAAGGGTAAGTGAAGATTTAGATACTTGATGGAAAAGTTGAACAATATTTTGTGATTATCCAGATTGTTCAAGAATTTCTCATGTCCTTATTTTATTCGTTTGGGCAAAATTCACATGGTTACCGTTTGGAATATGAGTATTTCCCAAATGATTTTATGACTTGTTCCTATCCTTGGATATTTATTTTTTAAATAGAAAAATGAAAACTGATGCAAGTTGATGAATGTGCCAGGATGGCAAATCATGGAGGAAACCTCCTTTATTTCTGTCTGTTGAGCCTATTGATTTAGAACCTGGAGACTTCATTACTTCCTTTGATTATCTAATGGAGAAAGAAGCATTGATAGTGGGGACCTCAAGTGGACTTCTGTTACTACATAACGTGGAAGATAATGCAACAGAAATAGTTGGTAAAGTGGAAGGTGGTGTGAAGTGCATCTCACCTAGTCCAGATGGAGATCTGCTTGGCGTAATTACTGGTTTTGGCCAGATATTAGTAATGACTCATGATTGGGATCTGTTGTATGAGATGGCACTTGAGGATCTTCCTGAAGATGTTGACGTGAGTAAGGACTTCTTTCCATTGTTTTTTTTTATAAATTTTTTACATGTTTTTCTGTTGCAAAAGCTGTACGCTTGTTCATTTGTGAAAGCTTTTTTGGCTAGTTTGGAAAAAGAAAAGATAGATTATTGGAAATTTGCATTATTCCTCCTCTTTAATTCATTGATGAATTATGAAAAAAGAAAAGACAAAAGGTGGAACTTTTTCTTGCTTTTGTGTCTTTTAATGTTAACTGAATCAAGCATGGTATGATTCTTTTTACTAGAAGGTGAGAAAAATAAATTAAAAATTGAGTACAATATTGAGTTAACCACTGATTAAATTGAAAATGATTGACATTATTGGATTGAAGCAATGAAAATATAATGAAACTCAAAACCGAAAACTTTCAGTGCCTCATGGGTTGATATGTCATTGTGCAAAGGATTAAATTTAGTGGAGGGTCTAAGTCTTAGAATGAATGAGATTCTGATTCCATGCTATTAAGTTTCAACATTGAATTACATTCATGGAAAATTTTGATGGTTTAAGTAGATTGCAGTAAAATACAGACTGAGCAATATGGATTTTATCTGCTCCAAATAATAAATTGTGATAGATGTTTGATGTAATTTATAGGCACTCATGGAAAAGTATAACATATCTTTTTACTTCTTTGCTTATGAAAAATCATTTTCAACCTGTGTCTCTACAATGGGAAGTGTGTTGATTCTTCTTCTTCATATTTTTAGAGGCTGGATTGTGGTTTCAGGTGAACCAACATTTTGTTCCAATTATTCACTTGAGAATCCCATTTCTTGGCGAGGAGATGGGAAATACTTTGCTACGCTAAGCATGGTTTGCAATTCTTCTTCCTCGCATAAGAAGATTAAAGTTTGGGAACGAGATTCGGGGGCAGTGCACTCTGTTTCAGAATCAAAGTCTTTTGCGGGATCAGTTTTGGAATGGATGCCTAATGGGATGAAAATTGCAGCTGTTTATGACTGTAAGATAGAAAATAGGTGTCCATCAATAGTTTTTTTTGAGAGGAATGGGTTAGAAAGAAGCTCATTTAGTGTCAATGAGGATATGTATTCCACTGTCGAAATTTTGAAGTGGAATTGTTATTCGGATCTTCTTGCAGCTGTCGTCAGATGTGAAAGATATGACTCCCTTAAGATCTGGTTCTTCAGCAACAATCATTGGTATTTAAAGCAAGAAATTAGATACCCCAGAAAGGATGAAATTAGATTCATGTGGGATCCCACAAAGCCACTGCAGTTGATTTGCTGGACTCTGGGTGGTCAGATCACAATCTTTAACTTTGTCTGGGTCACAGCTGTCATGGAGAACTCAACGGCATTAGTCATTGATGGCTCCGAGATACTAGTAACCCCTTTCTCCATATCTCTAATCCCACCTCCTATGTTTTTATTCAATCTAAGATTTCCAAGTGCTGTTCAGGACATAGCTTTCTGTTCCAAGAGTTCTAAGAATCATTTGGCTGCATCTTTGTCCAGTGGCTGTTTGTGTGTTGTAGAGCTTCCTAAACTTGATACTTGGGAAGAGCTAGAAGGCAAAGAATTCAGTGTTGAGCCTTCCTATTCTGAATCAGCAATTGGATCCTTTGTACATCTTATATGGTTGGATTCACATGTGCTTCTTGGTGTTTCTCATTTTGGTTTCAGGCATAGTGATTGCTTACCAGAAACATCATCAGGTAAGGATGAGCTTCCTGGGTACTACTTGCAGGAAATTGAGCTTGTGTGTTTTGAGGATTATGTCCCAGGTTCGATGACATGCTCAGGTTGGCATGCGAAGAGATGCAATCAAATCTCCCTTGAAGAGCCAGTAATGGGTATAGTTCCTAATCCTGCTAGAAAATATTCAGCATTTGTTCAATTTCATGGTGGAAAAATTTTTGAGTATGTGTCGAAGTTGTGTATCACAGCAGGAGCTCCTGCCCAATGTCTTCAAATACATGACAAGTTGGGATTTTTATCATCTTGCCCATGGATGTCTGTAGTTCCTGTAAGTGACTCTGGGCCATCAGAACCTTTGCTTTTTGGGCTTGATGAAAATAGTAGGCTGCATGGTAATGGAAGGATACTGTGCAACAATTGCAGCAGTTTCTCATTTTACTCCATCTTTAATGATCAAGTGATCACACATCTTATTCTTGCAACTAAACAGGATTCTCTCTTTGTTGTTGACATTGGCGATATATTGCATGAGCAATTAGAGGCTAAATATGAGAACTTCATGCCTGTTATCAAGAAAAGAAATGAAGAAGAGAAAAGAAACTGTATAAACGTATGGGAAAAAGGTGCCAAAATTGTAGGTGTCCTGCATGGAGATGAAGCTGCTGTTATACTACAAACAGCTCGAGGAAATCTTGAATGCATTTATCCGAGAAAATTGGTCCTTTCCTCAATTGTCAATGCTTTGATCCAAGGACGTTTCAGAGATGCACTCTTCATGGTAAGGCGGCATAGGATAGATTTCAATGTTATTGTTGACCATTGTGGTTGGCAAGCCTTTCTTCAATCAGCTCCAGAGTTTGTCAGACAGGTAAACAATCTAAGCCATATAACTGAATTTGTTTGTTCCATAAAGAATGATAACATAATGGAGACACTGTACAAAAACTATATTTCCCTACCTTGCCTAAAGGAGGCTAATGTTGTAGAAGCCAGAAAATTTGAGGGTTCTGATGCCAATGGTAAGGTATCCTCTGTCCTGCTAGCAATAAGGAAGGCTCTTGAGGAGCAAGTGGCGGAAAGTCCAGCAAGAGAGCTTTGCATTTTGACCACTCTAGCACGAAGTGAGCCACCAGCTCTTGAAGAAGCTTTGAAGAGGATAAAAATTACCCGGGAAATGGAACTGTCAGGTTCTGATGACCCAAAGAGAATATCTTACCCTTCTGCTGAGGAAGCTCTGAAACATCTTTTATGGTTATCCGATTCTGAGGCTGTTTATGAAGCTGCTTTAGGTCTGTATGACCTGAACCTTGCAGCCATTGTAGCTTTGAACATGCAACGAGACCCAAAGGAATTTCTTCCATTTCTCCAGGAACTGGAACACATGCCAACTCTGTTAATGCAATATAAAATTGACCTCAAACTGCAAAGATATGAAAAGGCACTCAGGCACATAATTATTGCAGGAGATACTTATTATGCTGATTGTATGAACCTCATGAAGAACAATCCTGAACTTTTTCCGCTGGGGCTCCAACTGATCACTGATCTCGCCAAGAGGAGACAAGTCCTTGAGGCCTGGGGGGATCATCTTAGTAACATAAAATGCTTTGAGGATGCTGCTGCAACTTATTTGTGTTGTACTAGCTTGGAAAAAGCACTGAAGGCTTATCGTGCTTGTGGTAATTGGAGTGGGGTGCTGACTGTTGCTGGTCTTGTTAGACTGGGGAAAGGGGAGGTTATGCAACTGGCACATGAACTCTGTGAAGAACTCCAAGCCCTTGGTAAACCTGGGGAAGCTGCCAAAATTGCCTTGGAGTACTGTGGAGATGTTAATGGTGGGATCAATTTATTAGTCAGTGCAAGGGATTGGGAAGAGGCTCTGAGGATTGCTTTTATGCACAGGAGAGACGATTTAATTTCAGAAGTGAAGAATGCATCTCTTGAATGTGCCAACATACTAATTGGTGAATATGAGGAAGGGTTGGAGAAAGTAGGCAAGTATTTAGCCCGCTACTTGGCAGTTCGACAGCGGAGATTATTGCTTGCAGCAAAGCTCCAGTCAGAAGAGCGATCAATGAATGAATTTGATGATGATACTGCTTCAGAAACTAGCAGCAGTTTCAGTGGAATGAGTGCATACACCAAAGGGTATGACTTTTATATTTGTAATTCATATAACTTTGTGTAGTTCACATCATGCTTCAGTAGAGCTACCCTTTTTGGACAATATTCTGTCAATAGTTAAAAATCATGCAGAGGTAATTTATCCCATCTAGATACAGCTACCGCTACTTCATTTGTGGTTCATGGTACATATGCATGCACTTGTTTGTGTGTGCATGTGTCTTATTTATGAAAGCCATGTAGTTGATGCAGGACAGCACTAGATGGTGCTGTGTAAAAGTGATTTTATGGCAAGTTTTGGTCAAAGATGGAACTTTTTTGTGCTTAGGATTTTAAAATGCTGAACAAAGGTTGTCAAAGTGATAGGTTACAACTTTGAGGAGTTTCAGAAAAAGAAGGCACGTTAGAATATGCAGGTTGTGTTGTTTGAGGTGAAAAGGTAGAGGAAAGGGCTGGCGTTGATTAGGAGTTTAAGTGGTTGATTTTGAGGGTGAAATGAGGTCTGTTTTGTGGCTGTGAGCATTCGACTTTGCTGCATTTGTGGAAGAGCAGGAGTGATGAAGAATTTAGGAATCTGACACAGTTTCTTAGGATTTCAAGGTTTGGTTGTACCAGAGATCATATGATCCCAAATTCTAAAAGATTCCATTAAATATAAATACTCAATTATTTATAGGGTTCTGGGTGTCTCCAACTTTTTCATTGACAGGGCTTGAAGACATGAAACTTTGATACTTTAATTGTTGATTTTTTTTTATTTTTTTATTTTTTAAAGCCAAATAAAGATCACATTAACAATTTGATAACATGACTTGACCCAGCATTGAAAATTATCAGATTGTTAATGTGATCTTTATTTGGCTTTAAAAAATTAAAAAATTTCATTGACTACAGCCCATGTCCAACAATTTTGTAACTATCACTCCACCAGGTAACCTTTTATTTTTTAATTATAAAACATAATACAATACCAACAATATAACCATATTAGAACTTATATTATGCACCTTTACCTGTCCAAGTAAAAAAGAGAATGTTTTCCCCTTCACACCACAAAGGAGAAAAACCAAAATACAAAAATGAAGACCTCAAAGGCTAAACGCACTGAAAAATAGGACAAAAACAGTTGTTGAATCTCTCTTTATTAATACCGAACACTTGGTTTTTCCTACAGTTTCACATTGATTTTATATTTGCTTCGTGTTACAATTTTGATTGCCTCAAGTGACCTCTCGTTCATGAGCAGGACGAGAAAGGGCTCTGCTGCTTCCATCAGCTCAACTACTTCTACCAAGGCAAGAGACACGAGGCGCCAGCGGAATAAAGGGAAAATCCGTGCTGGCAGGTATGTCGGTTGTTCAATCATCTCTTGCATTTTGAAGTTCCTATCATTCTCATTGTCATGGGTGTTATAATGAACTGCCTTTCCAGCCCTGGTGAGGAGATGGCTTTGGTAGAGCATTTGAAGGGGATGTCTCTGACCACTGGAGCAAAGGGTGAGCTTAAAGCTTTGTTGGTTTCCCTTGTGATGCTCGGCAAGGAAGACATCGCAAGGCGATTGCAGCGCATTGGAGAAAACTTTCAACTGTCTCAAATGGCAGCAGTTAAACTGGCCGAAGATGCAATGTCTAGTGATATCATAGATGAACAAGCCCATTCTTTGGATCATTACATTCGGAAAGTGAGAAAAGATCCACAGCATTTAGACTCTTTCTGTTGGCGGTCTAAAGTGTTGATTCTGCCTTAACAGGTAACATTTGCCAAAACATGTAATCCACCCACTTGTTCATTTGAAGTGTGCCTGTTTTTATCTTTGATACATCTAGTCATCTACTCCCCTCTTGGTTGCTGGTGCTGCAAATGAGATGTCTATGAATTGGAAAAATATGGAGTGCATGAATACTGGCGGGAAATGTAAATAAACAAACTAACTCCATGCATCTTTGAGCGTGTTTCTATTTGTTTTTTAAAATTGTTGTGTTGTGATTCTTGCTTCTTTTTTTTTGGTTTCAACAATGCTATGAACACATAAACTAAATACAAAGTTGGCCACAGAAACTAAACATGTGACTAGGATCAGTTTGGCTTGATGTTATATGTTTACCTACTGTCCACAGTCATTTTATTCTTCTCCTTGGTTTTTAGTTCTCTATCACATCTAAATAGAAATGTGTCCGTCTCTCTCTGTCCTACCTTCTTCCCCACTGCAATTATTTATTTTCTCCATTAGAGATTGTCATTTGTAAATTCATAAGCATCAAAGTATTGCTCTAGGACGGGTTCGATGCCCCATAAAAAATTGATTGGCTCTATCGTATTCGCAAAGCATTTGAAGGGACTAGGGAGATATATACATGTGATGATGAATAGCTTCAACTAAAAGAAAATTGTTGCCATGTAACTTTCATCTTGAGAAATTTGACTTCAATTCCATATCATTTATTCTGGTTTCTGCACTTCTTTCCAACTTTTATTAGGGTTGAATAGCTAAAATTGATATGCGAAACACAATGGTGCTATTCTGTTTTATTTGACACACATTTGTTCGAAGGATTGTAGATAGCAGTGTATTTGTTTTTTTTTAATGCCCTTTATTGACGTGTTATACTCTCGTCTGCAGCTTCGGAAAGGTGCGATTATTTGCTTTTCATGGTTGCACATACTGAGATATGTACCAGATCTGTACACTGTTCGTATTGGTGGCTAAAAATGATAGGAAGTAGCTAGAGGACAGTTTCCAAGTTGTACTGAAATTTTTTCTGAACTGTTCTTTCCCTTCTCATTTATGGATTCTTTAGTAGTTGCTTAAACCATTTTTTCCTGTGTCACCGATCTGTACACAATTTTTTTAAAACTTTTTATTTATCAGAATTTCAGTTTTGTGTTGAATATATTTAAAGACATGTAAAATTGATGAATTGTGTCAAACTGGCTAGATATGTGGCTGGTTATTGCCTAATGGTCATATGGGTTGTCGTCCAATCCGTGAATCTCAAACTCATTGTTTGGTTGGAGTTGGATAGAAATTTTGAAAGATAAAAGGAAAATGTACGTGAAATGTAATTGTATTTTATTTACATTTTATTCATATTTTTTATTTTCCTTGCCAAATTTTTATTCAGATCTGTGAACCAAACTCAACCCAAGTGTCCATCACTGGATTGCAAGTAGGATGAAAATGTTTTGAAGAACCTTATGCTGACTTTTGTAATTATATAATACTGGTTAAGCCCGATTCTATATACATGGGGTTTCTGAAATTTGGATTGGCCGATTTGGGATTTGGTTAGGCGGGCTAAATGTAGAGAGAAATTGGGTTTTTCCTTTCGAAAATATATATATAAATATTAGGCAAATGTGGTGAAATTATGGGTTTCTATCTCCAATTTTCTAAGTCATAATTCATTAAGGGCAAAATTTATTGTACTTCCTAATGATTTGGTTCATGTATGAGTTATCTTTTAGTTTAGATATAATTATATAGTTTTTACGTGATTTATGAGTTAAAATGCATAATTTTTACGTGATTTATGAATTAAAATGCAAAGTTATATTTTATGTTTAAACTAACGGTGACATTAGAGATGCCATTTTAATTTGATTTGTGAGGGTTCGCCCATATCCGTCCGAATGGGGTGGATTTTACTTGACCCGACACTTATGTAGAGCTGGTGTGGATTATATTTTGGTCATCTGTAGCAAGAGTGGAGCGGGGGCAAGTATTGCCTCTTTCGATCCAAACCCAACCCGATATAATTAATAATATATATGTATATATATATATAATTAGATATAAGAAAGGAATATTAAAAGTTTGTGGTTTTGTATAAATATAAATAAATAATAATCTTAAAAGTATTTATATATATAGAAATAAGAAAAATTATTTAGTATGCTAATGATTTAAATGGTTTTCAATTTTTTTGTGGGTGTTGGGTTTCTGCGAGTATCTGTGAAAGCAGGGATGAGATTGAAAAATTTTATCTGGAATGAGGATGGGACGGGGGCGGAGGTGGGGTTTGTTCACAGGGACAGAAAATGACAAACCCGTTCCGTGACCATCCAAGATCTATACACACTAATTTTGAAAGTGGGTATGAACAATAATTTTTTGATACTAAAATTCCTTAAAATAACTAGTGCCATTCTTCTTAAAAAATCCTTCCCTTCAGCAAACTCCATCTCTTTTCCCAATTCCCACCAATGCCTCCCAGCCCACCCCCTTCTCACAATCCAACCAAGATGATCAATCATAAGGATGATAATACAAAGTGGAAGAAGAAATAAAAACAACGAAAAAATATGAAGTAAAAAAATGGTCCCCGAAGCTTGTCTCTCTAATTTAGAGAGAAATTTCCAACCCACTTTAATCACCTGTTTCTTTCCAGTCAATTTTCTTTTTGAGAAGTATATCAGTTGCCAAAGGCAATCAAGAAGAAAAGAATAAGAAAGGGCCAAGGAGGCCAACAAAAAAAAAAATTAGCAGAAGAGGAAAAACAGAGGAGGATTTGTTGAATGGATTTTGGGTCGTAAACAGTTGGGTGCTACTTAGAAGAAGAGGTAGGAAAAATAGAGTATCTAGCAAATAGAGATTTTTTTTTTAAAAAAAGTTTTATTCACTATTAGATTTGTACAGCTTTTGCATTTTTTTTTTGGTGCTTTTCCTTTGTGTGTGTACGCGCGCGCGCGTTTTTTTTATTTATTTTTTATTTTTAGAACAAGTTAGAAAACATAGATACAGATACGAGGTACGGATATGATACGATACGGATACGGCGATATAATAAAACTTAAAAAAGTAAGATATAGGTACGATTAGGCTACGTTTGTAAAAAATAAAAAATAAATAAATTATTAGCAGTGAGTTACACAAGAATGTTGAGAAATCACAGTAACTTTATAATGCAAAATACTAATCTTTAAGAATTAAGTATTAATTTAAGCCAGTAGTTAGTTTAGTTTTTAAATTTTCAATAGGTCTTGCAAATATTTCATTTCAATATCAAGTCTAGTATGTTGATATTATAATATTAAAACAATCCACAACTTGATCCTATACTTTTTCCTTTTGCACTAGTCAAAAATATTCTATGCAAGTTTATTTGTTTATTTATTTATTGATATTTAATTTTACTATTGTTATAATATCTTATTAATCTCTATTTCTATGTAGTTATAGGGGACATTCATGATACAATGAAGATATGTCAATTTGATGAATTCTATTACTTTAACTTACTATGTTATTTTTATAAAAAAAACTAAGCAAAGTATTGTTGAAATATTTTATTTATCCTCTCAATTATATTATATTATGATGTTATACAAGAAATGATACAACTCTGATTTTGTAAAAGGAGTAATACGTGACTTGGAACATTTGGTATTTCAAAATTAATTAAGAAGTATCCTATAATATGTGCTTTAGAGTATCCGATATTTCAAAACTAAGTATTCGATACTGCAAAATTAATGAAAAATCAATTAAGAAGTATCCGATACTTTTAATAAGTATCTGATACGTATCCATAAGTATCCAAGGAGTATCGGTATCCGATATGAATACGTCTTCCCATTTGAAGTATCTGTGCTTCATAGAGAACAAGTAGTTTTATTAAAATAAAGTAAACAACAAGACCTTAAAGTGTCAAACAAATAACCAGACAACAAATTATAAACAACAAAAACAACAAATCTACCAAAAAAACCATCTACATCAACACTTGCAGTCGCTCCTTGACACTTTTGAAGTGTAAATCTCAATTTTTTATATTTGAAATAGAGATTTTGAATGTTTCTCTCTGATATATTTTGAATTTTTGACGTCCACAATGATTCTCTCTTCTCTCAAGCATTTTTCAATACCATTGTGGGTATTCTTCCTCTTTAACTATTGTTTTTGGCAGTGTCCGAAATACGGCGACGGCGATGGCGATGGCGCAGTTAGACAATGGCAACGGGGATGACGTGGACAGAGATTGCTGGAGTACCACCGAAAATCTCCTAAAGACCGTAGCTCTCAGTGCTCTCTCTCTGGAACTCATATCCTTTGTGATGTGTTATTGTCACACAATTTGTATATTGTCCGTGAAAGAATGTTGGTTAATGCAGCCTGCCCTTTTCGCATACTAGAGTTTTGTCAACCTAATGGGTAAAGCATTAGAAATTGCTATTTCAAGAATCATTATAGAAGATTATATATATATAATTCCAGTGTAATCTATATATATATATATATATATGAAAAAGGCTCACTTCCACCATTTCATTTTGATTAGGCTAAACCCTAAACCTTAGAACTCTCTGGCCGATTGCCAATTCATGCCTCCTTTTACATCCAAAAACAACAAATAGAATTTAATTGAATGCAAATACTAAAAACTTGTGATGAAATATGGAGAGTTGGAGTTAACAAAAGTTAAAAACCCAATAGGGAGGGCTGACGTAACCGCCACATGTACTCTGCAATTAATGATTATACATTTTTCTTTTGTTCTGTACCAATTAGATGTGTATTTGTTATATTGTTTATTCCAATTTTTTACGACACTTTATGATCTTTCCAATAGTTCATATGGGAGATTGCCAATTGAAAGTTTTCAAAACTCATTTCGTTCAATATAAACATAAATTTAAACATTATATATGAGTGAATTAACTAAGGTCTTGTTTGGCAAGCGATGATTTTAGTCAAAAAGTCACCAAAAAAATCAACAAGCCAATAACATATACAAAAAAGTCAAAAATTCTCTTTTCTCTCTACTTTTTGCACATCTTTTCGTAAAAAATCAAAAAGTCATATTAAACATACTAGTTTTTTTAACCTAATATTTTAGTCAAAAAATCAAAAAATTACTAAAATAATCTGTTCTCCAATGAGGCCTAAATTGGAGATAATAAAGAAAAAACTACAGACTTTAATTACTACGCCGCCCATACCAAACTTGATTGGAGAAGTTGGAAATGATTGATTTTGATACTCAACAGACTTCAATTACTAAAACAAAACAATACTTGAAGGAATAAAAGGAAAACTCCTATACAATTAAAACATCCAATGCACATGAATTAATAGTATTTATTTACATGATGCCTTAATTTCCATGATAGCATTCCAATCTACATGAACAGAGTCACACAAGAGTTGAAGCAATACCAACTGAATGATCAAAACAACCACCTCTGGACTCATGATTAATGCATTATGATTCAAAATTTATCTTCCAAAAGTCACGCTTCCCTATAAATTTGTCATGCAAAAAAAAAAGAAGCATTTTGTACGTTTAAGGCCTCACTTCTCTTTAGTTGGCTCTAACTGAAGAAGTGTACTTAGACTTAGTGGGCCTACTTCGAAACCTGTTATTCAAATTGTTCATTTGTAAATCAGCCACCCCTCTACCTCCTCATCCTTCCTATGCTCTCGACCCACCTAGCCACCCTTGGACCACCGTTAGCGCGACCCCTCTTCCTCCTCTTTTTCTTGGTGATCTGAAAACCCCAATGTAGGAGGAGATCTGAGACAGATCTGAAAGAGATCTGTGATAGAGGAGATCTGCAACAGAGAGAGAAGAAGGAGAAGAGTAAGGATGAAGAGGAGAAGAAGCTGCCAGAAATGAAGGTTGCCGGAGGAAGAATGGGACTGCCGGTGATGCTCTCTGTTCCGTCCTCCTTTTCTCTCAGCTTCTGTTTTCTTTTCCTTTTTTATTTTTTTATTTTTTTAAAGGAAGTTTTGCCCCAAAACGATGTGGTTTTGGGGCATTACAGGGAACCACTGCAGGGAAGCCCTGTAGAGGATCTGGACTCTTTTAATACAATGCACTATTTATTTTTATTTTTTTTGATGTAATAAATTAATAATATGAAGTATGGTAAGACAATTAACTAGAGCATAACATGTACGCTTACAGTTTCAAACCAGCATCATAACTTGTGGCGCTACCTTTTGAACCTTCTCCAAACACACCCTTACCAACCTGCAAGCAGAATAGTAAGAAGTTTAGAAAATTAGAATGAACATCAAAGAATAAGAATTGTTAAACCCACTAAACCTAACCCACTACTACCTACCACACACACTCACCTCCTCACCTAACCTACCACTACCACCTCCACTTCATCCCCTACCACTTCACCTACTACTTCCTTCTCTTCTATATATTTGATCATTGTAAACATAACAAAATATCAATATACACAGCAATCTTGTAATCAATACACATCAATAAATAATACATCTTTATTTCTACAAGAATGAACACTAAAAACACAGAAATTTAAAAAATTAACCCAGACCTTCTCAACCAAAACTTGACAATTTATGAGATTTCTTTAATTGCGAAAACCTAATCGAATATCTTGAGATTGATTGCAAGATGCAGGGCAAAGCTCACTATCTGGCCTTCCAACAATACAATAAAATTGTTCGGGGAGCAACATTTTGAGCTTTGAGTTATCAAGTCCTGGTTCATGAGCCTAGTCCATGTTATTTGTGCCTAGCACCAAACTTCTGTGAAATAAATTACATTTCCAGCTCTATTCCTTCTCATCCATAGTTCTAGAAATTTTGACCTGCCTGTGTTGATTTTCCCCAACCTGTTTGACTTCTAAATGTCAGACATAACAAATCCTTGCAAGAGGAAATTATTCTTGCTCACACGGCCGTCGTTGTTCTCATCAGAGATGCCATTGTGGTCACCAGAATCCATGCATGAGCCTCAAAAGTGATTCTTCACAATCTGCCAGTATTGAGAAGAGCAAAAAATGTCGCTAATCTGTCTCTGTGACCGTAAAGAAACAATTCCTTATCCTCTTCCTCCACATTTTGTAACACAGAGCTCCTGTCATTATTATAACCCATTTTCTCCATTTTCTCAAATAAACTGTTCCAGGAGAAACCCATGCTTTCAAAATCTCGATGGATTTGGTCACCAACTTGAAATGCTTGGACCCTTGTTTGTGACCTCAACCCAACTACATGCTGGAGTTTTCTTCAATCCCGTCTCATTCATCTTTAATCTCATGTTTTTTGCATCGCACCATCTACCAGATTGAGAATATATGCTTGATAGGACCACGTAATGAGCTGGATTCTGGGGCTCAATTTTGACCAGATGATCTAATGCAAACTCTCCTAACTTCACATTAGAATGCATTCTACAAGCACTGAGTAAGGCTCCCCAAATTCCAGCATCAGGTTCCATTGGCATTGTCTGAATTAAATCTAATGTTTCCTCAAACAAACCAGCACGACCTAACAGATCTACCATACAAGCATAGTGTTCTAAATCTGGGTCAAGATTATGCTCTTTGGTCATGGAATAAAATATCTTTCTTCCTTTGTCTATCAAACCTGCATGTCTACAGGCAGAGAGAACACTGACAAAGGAAACGGAATCAACTTCAACATCACTCTCTTGCATAAGTGAGAAAAATGCAATAGCACGGTCTGCTTGCCCGTGCACTGCAAATCCAACAAGCATGGAGTTCCATGAAATCATGTCCTTATATTCCATATCATTAAAAATTTTCTCTGAAAAATCAAGGTGCCCACATTTGGCATACATGTCAATGAGAGCATTGCCAACAATTGTGTTAGACTGAAAACCCATTTGGATTACGTAGGCATGGAAACTCGTACCTTCTTTCACGGAAGCCAAACATGCTGCCGCAGGAAGAATGATCACAATTGTAACTAAATTAGGCTGTAAAGCCGCCAATTTCATCTGGTGAAATGCAGAAATGGCTTCTTTAGCACGTCCATTCTGCACGTAGCCTGCAATTATTGCATTCCAAGAAACCTCATCTTTAGTGAACTCAGTTTCGTTGAACAACGATTCAGCCGAAGAGAGGCTTCCACATTTGGCGTACATGTCAATTAACGCATTCTTCACATGACAGTCTGACTGAAATCCGCACTTTTTAACTAGCCCATGGATGCAATTCCCAAGATCGAGGTCACCTAAGAGTGCACAAGCTGGAACAACACCCACCATTGTTCCTGAGTCTGCACGTTCCCCACATAATTGTAATTGGCAAAACATCTCCATTGCACGAAAAGGGTCGCCAATCTGAGTGTATGCAGTTATCAAGGCATTCCACATCACAACACCTTTTCGTGGCATCCTCTTGAATATAGTCATTGCAGGAGTAAAGAATTGACATTTAGCATACATAGACACTAAGGCTGTTCCTGTTGATACATCAGAATCGATATCGGATTTGATAGCATAACAGTGTAAACTCTTCCCTAGTCTCACAGACAATACTTCTGCACAAACTGGAAGGACACTTGCTAGAGTCACTCTATTGGGTTTCAAATTATTTTTCAGCATATCTTGAAATAAAGACAGTGCTTCCTCCGGATGCCCGGATTGAGCAAAAGCAGCTATAGCTGCAGACCAAGCAATCACATCTCTCCCCTGAAGTCCCACAAACAATTTTTTAGCCTTCTCCAATTCTCCGCATTTGGCATACATTGTCATGAGAGGAGTAGCAACCAAAATGTCTGAATCAATGCCTTGTTGTATTGCAAAGTCATGGATATCCTTTCCCATCTCTAAATCTCTCATCTCAGCGGCTGCCATCAAAGCACTAACAATTGATACCTTATTTATCTTTACATTGTCCCTTTTCATGTGATTAAATAACTCTAAAACTTGACAAAAACCTCCATTATGTGCATAACCTGCCATCATTGTACCCCATGCAACATCATCCCGACCCCACATCCGATCAAAAACCAGGCGAGCAATATCTACATTCCCACACTTAGAATATACATCAATCAGCCCATTTAAAACAGCTTGTGGAAAAACCCTCCTGATTACGTACCCATGAAAAGATTTGCAAGGCCTAATATCTAATAACTCAGAAACTGCCGGGAACAAATTCAACAAGCTCACCGAATTGGGTTTAATTCCACTTTTCAATTGCATATTATGAAAAAACTCGAATGCTTCAGAAGGATCTGAGCTCTGCGATAACCCAGCAATCATAGCATTCCAAGCCACAACATCCTTGTTTGGCATTCTATCAAACACCTCTCGTGCAAGATCTAAATCACCCATTTTACAATACATATCAACAAGACCAGTCCCAATAAACACATCGCATTCTAACCCTTTATCAACGATTTCACAATGAATCGAGACAGCCTCTTGGAAATCTAAAATCCCAGTACAAGCTTTCAAGGCAAAAGTGAATGTATACTTGTCCGGTTCTAATGATTTTTCTAACATATTGTGGTACATTTCCAGAGCCTTTTTGTGCTGGTTCGACCTCGTGTAAGCTCTGATCATGGAGTTCCATAAAATCACAGGTGGGTTTGGCGTGGAATCGAAAACAAAGCGAGCCAAGTCGCATTTTTGGAAGCAAGAGTAGGAGTTTATGAGATGGGTAGTTAAGGTATTGTCTGGTTTGAAGCCTGAAACTATCAAGTGGCCATGAATTTGGAGGACAGAGTTGAGACGTTGGGAGGAAGAGAGGAGAGTAAGGTAAGGATGATAGTAGGATTTTGAAAGGGAATGGAAGGGTCTACGCAGTGAATTAGTACTGATCATCGTTTAGAGAAAGCAAGCTTCATTCATGGGCTTGCTCTGTAGTTTAGTTTGTATTCAACAACACTACATAAAATAAAAGCCTTCTCAACCGCATCTCCAAAGTTTCGTCAATAAAAATATGACGAAAAGTTTGATATAAATAATGTACTTCAATCATTTTGGATTGGTTTGGGATGAGGTTTGGTTTTAATTTTTTAGTTATTTATTTATTTATTTTTGATAATTACATGTTTTAGTTAAAAAATTATTATCAGTTGTCATATTATTTTTTTTTATTTTTTTACACATATTTTTATAAAAAATCAAAAAATTATTAAAATAATTTGTTTCCAAATAAGGTCAGTCTTGGTTAAAAAGTCTCGTTTGTGATAGATTTTTGGCTTTTTTAATTATTGGGAGAGAAAAAATAAGATGATTATAATTTGAATGTGACATTTTATCTTATTGACTTTTTAATTTTTTTTATCTCTTTATAACTATTTTAGCATTGAAGCCCCTTGCCAAATGAATGCTTTGTTAAAGATAGTCGGTGGTCCGATTTAAAATAAATTTTCATCAAATTATCTTAAGTTCTTCACCTGGTCGTTCATCAATGGTCATTTTTAAAATTTGAAGAAAGGATAAATGCTTACTTCATTTGATGAAAAAGTATGGGTAAATTACACTTTGCCCTCCTAAAGTTTCATCCATTTTTCACTTTGGCCCTTTAAGTTTAATTTTTCTCATTTTGACCCTTTATGTTTGCAATTATTTCTACTTTGGCCCTTTAAATTTAATTTTTCTCACTTTGGCCATTCATGTTTGTAATCTATCCCAGCTTGGCCCTTCATATTTGTAATCATTCCCACTTTATTTCTAGACTAACTTTCATCCAAAAAACTAACAAAATCTGCCACATCACTAACACATCAACTCCATGTGTGATGTAAAAAATTCACTAAAGATACAAAAAATAAAAAATAAAAAACAAAAAAATTAAAATTTTTTTAGTCTTTAGTGAATTTTTTTTTCAAATTTATTCATAAACATTATTACATTATAGATGCATTTAGATTAGATGCAGTTAAAAAAATAAAAATAAATTTAACTAAAAAAGAAAAAAATTTACTAAAGATGAAAAAAATGAAAATATACTGACTTAAACACCTGTATTGTCAATTTTGAAATGAAAAATTTACTATTGTTTTTTTTGTCTTTAGTAAACTTTTTTCTTTTTTTAATTAAATTTGTTTTTATTTTTTTAGCTGCATCTAATCTGGATGGATCTGTAATGTAATAATATTTATGAATAAATTTGAAAAAAAAGTTCACTAAAGACTAAAAAAAAAAAATCATTTTTTTTGTTTTTTATTTTTTATTTTTTTGCATTTTTAGTGAATTTTTACATCACATATAAAGCTGATGTATTAGTGACGTGAGAAATTCTATTTTTTTTTTTTTTTTGGATGGAAGTTAGTCTAGGAGTAAAGTGGGAAGGATTGCAAATATGAATGACCAAAGTAGAAAGGGTTATAAACATGAAGGGCCAAAGTCGAAAAAATTAAACTTAAAGGGCTAAAGTGAGAAAAATCAAACTTAAAAGGCCAAAGTGAGAAATGGATGAAACTTTAGGAGGGCAAAGTGTAATTTACCCATACTTTTTCATCAAATGAAGTAAGCATTTATCCTTTCTTCAAATTTTAAAAATGACCATTGATGAACGACCAGGTGAAGAACTTAAGATAATTTGATGAAAATTTATTTTAAATCGGACCACCGACTATCTTTAACAAAGCATTCATTTGGCAAGGGGCTTCAATGCTAAAATAGTTATAAAGAGATAAAAAAAATTAAAAAGTCAATAAGATAAAATGTCACATTCAAATTATAATCATCTTATTTTTTCTCTCCCAATAATTAAAAAAGCCAAAAATCTATCACAAACGAGACTTTTTAACCAAGACTGACCTTATTTGGAAACAAATTATTTTAATAATTTTTTGATTTTTTATAAAAATATGTGTAAAAAAATAAAAAAAAATAATATGACAACTGATAATAATTTTTTAACTAAAACATGTAATTATCAAAAATAAATAAATAAATAACTAAAAAATTAAAATTGCTACTAAGATAAAAGAGAAAAAGTGTAAATGAAATCACTGTATAAGATTATTAGAGCATCCGCAGCAGCTCCCCTAAACCCCCGCCTTACCTATTTTAAGGGGTTGATGGCTTCCTCTAAAATTCTAGCAGCGCCCTTAAACACTTTCCTAAAATAAGAATTGCTACAGTGCCTTTATATTTGTAGGGAATCACTGTAACACCCTTATGTTTTTTTTTTTCTGTTTTTTTTATTATTTTTATATTTTTATGCTTTGTTTAGGGATTGTAGTACACATTTATGATTTTTATTTTATTTTTAAATTTAGAATTAAAAATTATATTTTAATAGAATAAAGAAAAAATAGTGTGTTTGTTAATAGAATCGAGAAAGAATAGGGAGTTTGTTGGAGGAAGTAGATAAAAAAATGATTCCTAAAATAGGAATGATTTTTTTTAATAATATTTTAGGTAAAATATAAGTATTCCGTTAAGGATGCTCTTAGTATTTTAAAACAATCGATAATAGGTATTATTTTCTAAAAAAATTAATAACTATATTATGTGCTTTACACATGATCTGATTTTCCGTAAGTTTTTAACAAAATCTTAACAAAAAGAACTAATTGTAATAAGATATATTTTGATGGGATTAACTATTTGAGTAATGCTAAAGACTCAAAAAGTTCTATCAAAATTTCTATCAAATGTCTTACATAGATATGGGACCTATGTGCATGTGGGACCCATATGGATCCTACACCTATGTGAGACATTTAGTAAATATTTTGATAAAACTTTTGAGATCTCTAATATTTTTGTAACTATTTTGAAGTTCAAGAAGACAAAGTACAAATGAGCAATAGTTTAAGAGAATTTATTGTAATTTACAGATAAAAAATACACATCCATCCCAAATTTTTTTTTTTTTTATTCTTTTTGGGAATTTCAACTTTTTGAGGGGCATATAATCATTACATTTAAATTTAAATTTCAAAATATTTTTCTATTGATGCCTTCATCTTTTCAAAATTTTAATATATTTATAATTATTCAAACGTAATAATTTTGAAAAATCAGGTATTTTTCACTTTTAACTTTTTAAACAGAAATATCATTTTGAGACATTTCAAAACAAAATAATGAACCAATAAAATAAAACTGAGGGACTATGTGCTTGTTTGGCAGAGTTTAATTACAGCTTATTTCAGCTTTCAGCTTAATTTAAGCTATTTTGATGTGTTTAGTTTAGCTTATAACTTTTTGGAAGTCAGAAATCAGCTTATTCTTTGAGTGGGGTAGGAGATGCTTTAAGAATAAGGTAGAAATCAGCTTAAGCTGAAAGTTATAAGTTATAAGCTGTTGAGACATAAGGTATAAGTACTTTTTCACAGATCTACCAAACGGGGCCTATGACGGTAGAACGCCGCTTCGGCACTGCATAAAAGGCTTCTTAACATGTCTTAAGAGCTTTTTAATAATAAAAAAATAGCAACAAATTATTTTTGAGAAAATAAAATGTCAGTGAGGTTTCAGATTTTTTTATTTATTTATAAATTAGTGAGATATTTTATACGAATTAATAATTAAAATTAAAATTTTATTTTTTATTTTTTTTGTATATGTATTTTTTTGCGGGGTTTCAGACACCATTGGGGTGTAATCCCATTATTTTTAATAAATATAAATTACAAATACACTTTTTTAAGTTTATTTAAAATATGAATTACTCTTATAATTTAGAAAATTATAAATATTTTCTTATCAAAATTTTTATTTTAACATAATTAATTGAAAAAATAAAATTTCTAATTACTCTCTTATTCAATAATAAAATTACCTAAATTATTAATTGAAATAAATTTCTGATATCATTAAAAACTGTTAATTGACTTGATGATTTATTAATAAAATTGGTCATTTGCCATTGTTTTGAAAAATTGGTTAAAAGTTGATTTTTCGATTTTTCGATTTTTTTTTTGTTTTTTTTTGAAAAAATGCGTATAAAGTAATAGAAAAGTGATGTGACCAAAAATATATTAAAAAACTAAAAATTAGTTTTTTACCCATTTGCCAAAACAAGCCAAAATTAAAAATTTCAAGGGGTGGAATGTAATTTTCAAAACAACAGAGGGCAAATTGTATTTTAAGCAAATCACATGGAGTATATTTATAATTATATTAGATTTCTTTCATGTTCACATCTTAACATCAAAGAACTTGAAGGGTTGTGGAACCCACCACATGTCCAATTTCGATAATCCAAACCGTTTACTTGGGTAAAATAGTCATGTAAAAGATCAAAATAATCAGATATTGGTAAATATGCCCTCATTTGGCATAAGCTAAACGAGAGCTTTTTGGCTAAAATAGTCACAAAAACAAAATAGATTTTTTAATCCAATAAGACAAAATGTCACATTCAAATCTGTTGGCTTTTTGGCTTTCGAAGGTTATTTTTGTAATTGCGAGCGTGCCAGCAATGATCAATCAGTTCTTACAGAAAATTAATTGCCAATCAATTATCAGACAATTGTGTTTTAGTTCTTTCAGCCTCAATGAGGAGGACTTTTACTGGTGGCTTGATTTAGGAGAATTAAACAAGATAACAATTAAATGAAAAACAATTGAAGCATTTCATTAAAACAAAAAACTTACAATGATCTAAACTCAGCCTCGTAGAGATTTACAACAACAATCTACTACTTGAAACTACTCCTATGAACGAAGTGCAGTGCAGGAATTTAAAGTACAGGAATGTAAAGAACAGGAAATGTAAGACTGGAAATGTAAAACTAAAAAGGAAAATAAGTAGAATAAGACTGGTTTTTTGAATCTGAGTCTGGGGGTCTTTTTGTGGGCCTTCTCTGCTATTTATACTTCTCAAGGATGACCATCGAACTGCATTTCTAATCGTCGAACTGCTTCTCCATGATCACTAATCATGTTGCCTTATAATTAGCTCTACTATGCTATCACTTGCAGTTAGGCTTTCCTCTTAAATTTGAATTTAAATATGAG